TGCTGCATAGTTGTATTTTCGCCCCATTTCATAAGGTGGGCTTCAGTCGTGCTACTGGAATGAGAAAAGGACAGAAAGTGTCTAACCTTGCTGAAGCAGTGTAGTTGCTGTCAGGAACCTGCTGCGGCCACCGACATACACGAAGTCGGGCGTACCTGCCACTTGAGTGCGCGTATAAACAGCAGCAAAGATGGTTTGCTGCGGTTTTAGATTTGTGAAGGTATAATAATTGTTTGAAGCGACATTGATGCTCTTCTGCCATTTGTAATCCAAGCTCCATTCGATAGTGTAGCCAATGATGCGGCCAGTGGGTTTGGCTGGTGGGCTCCAAGCCATTTTCACCGTATGAAGATCGATTGCATGAAGACTAACGTCCAGGGGGGCAGTGAGGTCTGTACAATATTAAAACAGAGTACAAATTGTGTGCTTGCGGATTGCCGTCCGTGTCCATTGAAAGAGATGCTGGAGCGACAGGCTAACATTATCGAATTAGTGAATGAGTAGCAGATGCTGATGAGATGTAAGCGGAGGAACAGAGGTTGATATGCGAACAGACCTGCAGGCACTACTTCAAACACCAGTGCATCGGCCATCGTGCTAACAATGTCGGGCAGTACGCGACCACGCACTGTGACTGCGTAGGTGGCCAATGATTCCAGTTTGTCAATTTGATATTCCCGCTCGTTAGCAGTGAGATTGGCCACTGACTGCCACTGCTTTTGCAACGTGGAACCGCTCATCTTCATTAACACCTCGAAACCGCCGAAACTGCCTGCAACATCCCTCGGTTCGTGTATCAATAGGCGCAAGTTGAACGCGTCAGCGAAGTATGTTGCTTCGAATGTCGGCTTCAGCATGCCTAAAATAAGCGCATATTGAAATGACGTCTTTGCGCCGCTCATCTTCGAACAATTGTTGGGTAAAAGGCAAGTGCTGCAGTCTCTCGCCTTAGCCATTATGCTACCACATAATTAAAGGAAGTGGGACAAACCAACCTTGCTTCGGCGTAGATGCTGACTTTAAATCGCCGCTGGAGCCGATGTAGTCAAACTTAACCAAAGTTTCCATTTTAAAGCGTGCACAAATAGTGGCGGAAACGGTTTGTCCAGGCTCTAGGTGGTTGAAGGTGTGCATATTACTTGGAGTGAGATGAACATCTTCCTGGCGTGTGAAATTAAGGTACCATTCAACGGTGTAGCCAGCAATGCGACCGTTGGATGTAACTGGAGGATTCCACGACATGTCCACTGCGAAAGGGCTGATTGCATGAAGTTTGACATTGTGAGGAAGGCTCACATCTAGACGGGGAATGGTGAGTACGTTCATGAGTAGTACTGAGGGAGTGGTGAAAATGGGTGCATCTGCAACTAAATGCCAATCATTGCAGAACGGTCAGGCATGGAGTAAAATGAATCCACATTAAGGCCGCACTACGTGTGGAATGAATAACAATGGGTGGAAAGGAGGCAGACCTGATTCCATCGTTTCAAATACCAAAGGGTCGGCCAACTCGCTGAAACCATTGGGCAGCACACGTCCACGCACCGTGACTGCATATTTCAACGACGGCTCTAATCCCTCCATTTCCACTTTGCGCACATCAGCGGTAAGGTTAACCACAGATTGCCACGGCTCTTGCGAATCGAAATCTCCGCTTTTCTTCATCACTTCGAAGCCACCGAAGCTACCTCCAAGGACCTCAGGCTCGTGCATGACTAAGTGCAAAATCTTAGCATCCTCTTTGTAAGTTGCCTCAAACGTCGGCTTGTGCATCATAGCTGTGACAGGAGAGAAGAGGGGTAGGACCCTGTTTACTAATCCGTTACGAGATAATTCCAGTGCAACACTTTTATCTTGGCATAGGTTGATATGATTGCGAAAGGTAAACGCACCTTGAATGGGAGATGAAGACTTGGACACTTTCGTGCCTCCTTCTTGGTGCCCTGCAAGAAGTGGATTCGAGCTGCCTTCCATTACCATCGAGTCATCGCGCAAGGCGTTTGTTGTTAATACAATAAAACAGAGTTGGAGTTGGAGCTGGAGCAACATGTTTGGTTGAAAATGCTCTGCACTTACAACACACCCATGATGAACTTATAAGTACGCTGTGAAAATGCATTGACCTATGGAATGGTCTATTTCTTTGACCTACAAATTAAGTTTTTACCAATAATGCCCGTGATAACACACCAACTCTGATCACGTGACCGGTGATCGTCAGCTCTTCGACCCATCAACTTTAACAGTGCCCCACTGTCTGGCAGTCCTTTCCAATTGAATGATGATTGCCTTCTCTGCATTCGCAACAGTCTGGCACAAGTGTGATGCTCACTACGTCTTCCTTCATGATAGGAGGGAGGCAAGCATGCCCCAACTTACTGTTGCAGTGAGAGGTCTGCAGTGCTGAGTGCAGGGTATTCAAGAGTTCGATGAGTCTAGTCACCAGCTTTACCTCTCGTTGTGCAGGGACGAAATGTGAAATTGTTTGCTCCATTTACTCACGCCGTCAGTCAGTATAACTATGACGTTTAATAGCAACGCCTGGCTCAATTGTGTCTTGTTGTCTTGAAGTTGTTCATGCGTTTTGTCCTTAACCCAGCTAATGAGTTCTCACCTGTAGGGAAGGCCTTGAGATGGCTCTGCCATTGAAAGGCTCTGTCATTACAATTTTGCGCAATCTAACAGACTCAGCCTCTTTGTGTTTTCACCTCCATCCGACAGGGTAACCAAATACCGAACTACAAATGAAATACGAGGGTTTGAACCAAACGATGAAACGACGTCGGACACTTAGCATGCGACGTGTGTCGGAGGACTCAGCAGCACAAAGACGCGTCTACTCGACCACATCATTCGTGGTGCGACTGAACAATTTTTAAAAGTAAATTTCTAAACGCATAACATAATCCGCTCGCCTGGCTGTAGACGGCATTTCGAATGGAAGTGGGTAGGCGAACGTCTTATTCTTAAAGAATGCAGTTCAAGGGAGGAGTTGCCTTGCGTTTGCGTAGTTCAATGCGCTTCCACAACTAGGTGCGCTGCCCATAGTGTCACAAAGTGCTACAATTGTGTTTGCATCCTCCTCTACTCACAAAAGCACTAGTGAAGTGGGCATCTCGCCACCCTCTGCTGCACCTCTATGGAAGGGCAGATTTGAACTTCTTAAATGGAACCACTTCCTTGAGCTTTATTATTTTCCGAAACCATTGTGGCGTGGATGACTGCGGCCCCAAAATAAGCTCTATTTCCTGGAAATAAGATTCCGTTCTGACAGCCCCTCGACATTGGTTCATGAACGTGGCAGCCACAAATGAGGATGACCAGTGGGCGCACAGGCGACAAGGCCAAAGTGTTAGCCAAAGGCGATGAGCTTGGACAGACTTCATTCTACCAAATGCATCGTGTCTGTGTTGCTAGGCCAACTGCTACGCGGTGACGCCTCAGCCTGGTTAGTGTCCACCTGAGGCCGCTATGAATCACCACTCCTGCTTCACACCGACAGAAATCAACTATAACCGACACAACTCTGGACTAGGCCATCATCACTCCAGTTATTTTCTTACTTCAACACTAAGCCAACGGTTAGCCACCTTAA